TCAGTTGACTGGGCATCCTCTAAATCAATTATAGCTGAACTCCTGGATCACTGTGAAGAGTTGGATAGAGCCGTCTGTGAACCGAGATACATTAGATTCCGTGTATAACACTTACCTGAAATAAAAAAAAGATATACCAGTAGAATTTCGGGTTTCAAAATCCATTTTGTAAGTCACAATTTGGAGAGCTATGGCCTTGGTGTCGCTTTTTTTTACCTTAACGCCAACGGAACAGCATGTCACATAACATTAACTTCAAAGACAACTGGTTAACATTGGTGGGAATGAGAAAACAGTTAGACGTCCTCCGGTGCGCTCTTCGCAGTATTGCCGAATAGACAACTACAATCGTTCACTCGCAACTGGGTAACACATCCAAAACGAGTACCAGTACGTCACAAGGATCATCAAGTGAGTTGCAAGTAGAAGATTGAAAAGACCTACATGGGCGTTTATCAAGGGAACTTTATCCTGAAACATTTAGTTGGACATTTCTCGGGGCACGCTATTATGACAAGTGGGCAACAGATTACTTATCTTTTATTCCATCAGGAATATCCCCGAAGTTACTGTAGGACAAGTTAGCACTAGCGCACAAACGTATCTGTATTCGATAAAGGTAATATCAGGTGCTGTAACTAGGTTTCCTTTGTATATTGCAAATCCAAACCAGCAGAAGTGACAAAATATTACTGTTGGCTAACCGACAGAAGAGCACCTATTAGAATACACGAACAATAGCCTCTATCTAAAAGGTACGACCAATTAACACATGACCATAGATGAAATTCGGCAGCGAACCAATTCCTTTGAAACGGCATACGGGTATTGGCTCGAATCTCAACACAGAGACATTGTAAGTTTATCGAGACATTGACTATCATGGAAAGGAGGTGGAGACATATAGCGTAGTGTACGCTAACTATAAGTAATTCAAAGCCTCTACACACTACGCTGCAGAAAACCTAAACCCAGAAACAGAAGAGATTAAAACCAGTGGTTGAACCAAGTTGATTTCAGCAGAAGGCCCGACAGGAACCAGTCGGAAACTCTTTCGACTTATCACAACACACCAGATATGCCAGAAAAATCAATGAAGGTGAGTAATGTCCGAAGGTTTGCAGCTTATCTGAAGAGATCATCTTTATAGTACAATGTGTCAGATGTTCCAGCCCAACCAATGAACAGACGGACAGAGAAGAACAACCGGAACAACTCGAAAAACTTTATATCAACACAGGCGTCGGTGAAACCAGATCAAGCGGGTTGTCCAAACGATTTGAAATGAATGCGTATAATAAATCAGCTACCTGCAGGGAAATCGGGAGGGGAGGCAATGATGCAGAGCTCCAGAACAAACCAAAAACCAGCCAGAAGGCTTGGGTAATGTAGGTCACTCTTATCTACATCTTATAAAAGCAGTTACCAGAAAACGACACGGATACCAGATACAGTATATGTGGCGTCTCCCAGAATGCTGACGAGCCGTTTAAAGTCTAACTGCCACTCTCATCAAAGAGGCCAACAACTAATACGGTAGGCTTTCTTGTGGTGATTAGTGAACCGAGGATCTTGTTCTCATGGACCCAAAACAAGCTGTAGGACCTAAGACTGAAATGGCTATCAGTTTTGCATGGTCTATAGGTTCGCTGGAAACCATTCCGATGGGTAACTTCGAGAACTTCTTTACATAAGTAACCGCCGGACTCGAAATATGCAGGGTAATTTTGAAGATGCGGCCAATGCGAACGAAGTTTAAGAAACAAATCCTGTCAATCCCAACTTTCATGCATATTATCAGCTCCAAGTGCATTTATTCCACTTGACATATGAGGTCAATTATTCTTTTCTCACTCTCTCCCTTCAGTGCACTTTAATCATTACTCTTCGAAGTATTCTATCAGGTAACCTGTAATCACAATTATTCTCACCGGTCGCTCCTAATTCGGTGCTTCCGTCATTTGATCTTTCCACTGCCTGCTACTGCTCCTCGTTTTCCTGATGGAGCCCACCTGAGCACTGGTTTTGTGGCCTTTATGTTCCCACGTATTTAATTACAATGCATCGCAACCCGTTCATTTTCGAGGCACAGCGGAAGATGTACAGGTATTTTGGTCTCGCTTAAGGAACACTTATTGTCAGTCCAACCAGTTCATTAAACAATCCACCAATCTTCAGTGTCGTCGTTTCGAATTCTGTGTTCGAAGCTAGATATCTATTTTAGGAGTTCTGGCTCACTTATTTTTTGACTACATGGTAAGCAGACTGGTTTGCAAATCGAACTGCTCATAAGGCAGAAATTACCCAAACTACTTATAGTATTTTTCTCCTGTTCTTCCAGTCAGCCAACTGAGAAGGCCTTTGTAACTAACAGATTTCAATGCCATCTGAAAATTGGTGATCTGGTAACCTTAGGCCTGCATGTGGAAATGGTTTAGAAAATCAGGTTATGGTCAGAACGACACAAGATGTGGTGCAACTCTAAACTGAAATGGTGACTTTGAGTTAGTGTAAATAAGGTATGTATCGTGCGTGACAGGGTATGTCCATCTCACTTTGCTCATTTCACTTTTGAATGATATGCCATTGCAAAAATTGCAGCTCCCACTGACCGAAGGAACTACTAGTGATGGGCCAGCTTCTGTATTTATCCAGGGGCCACGTGGTTCCCCATTCTCGTCAACTTAGTTCTTTAACGATTTCATATGGTCTGCATCCTCGTGTTTTGATACTTACTGAAATATGAGGTTGCATGGAAATGGACAAACAACCAAAAACCATACAGTCAGTAGCGCTCGGACCGAGGCTAGTGTTAAATACGAAGGAATAGGCCGGTGTGCGTTTACCCTTCAAACGTAACATTTGGCTTAAGTGATACCTCGGAATCTACGAATAGGCATCCATTTGGCAGCAAAGTCAAGGATAATATTTCGATCGAAACCAATCACGAGCCCACCGTCAACGTTTCTGTTTGACCGCCTATATGGAGCGTCATTCGCTGATCAGCCATCAAGGCGAATGTCCTATAATACATAAAGATATCTAGTTTAGTTAACCAGTGGAATTGATAGGTTCTAATCATATTGTAGTTCCTACAGAAGCCTTTCAGTTTGTGCATCGAGTCACTCGGAGATTACGCGAACTCCACTTCTCACTGCTACCAGGGTGTTGTGCATCCGGTTGCCCAAATCTAATCTCTGTTGTCAAAACGGTTCATGCTGAAACTCAGGCTTAAGGGGTCAGTAACAATCATGAACCAAAACAAAACCCATAATTATGCCAGCTGAAACGAAACTCTCCAACCGCTACGCAGTGAATCATATGCAATTAGTGTCTCTATTTTTAAATGTACTTCATTCACAGTGACTATGTCCATTTACACTGCTTCGTAGAGTAGCTGAAGGCCGCGCACACAGGAAAAGCACTTGTTTGATTTAAATCAAGTCTGAAAACACATCTGGGTGCTGGTCGTTGGCTTGTTCGCTGAGCTGGGCAATTTTGGTTGCAATTAAGGCGTTATGGATCATTCTACTGTGGTTTTCTGGAGTTGATGTGGAATAGTTTGATGGTGCATCTTGCTTTGTTGCGTTTTGCAAGTTTTACGCAAGTATTTCTCGTTACTGGATCAACATCACCCGAAATATTATTCTGAAACGTTCTCATAGCCTGATATATCAGAGCAGCTCCATTTTGGGAGAACTTAATTCAGAGTTACAGCATCTTTATGAGTGGATTGCTGAGCGGAAGCCAATATTGCTGCACGGCACCTAATCACACGGGCAGAGGTACCAAAATTAGCTGTTTGCAGTAAAAAAAAGGTGTGATAACCAGGGAGCATTTTGTTAGGAAATATTCTAAATGTTTTATATTGCCTTCGCCAATCGTAAAATCACGACAAAATCCCAACTATTGTTTGCGTATTCCTTGCGCAGAAATAGACCAACTTAAATCCATTCCTGTGTAAATTTTATATGACGTTTGTTCAGCTTTCAACACAGGAGCTTTCTTTGGCCTAATCATTACCAACGAGGCAAAAAGGCCAACTTTATGAATTCGGTTTTATCATTTCTTAGGGACAAGCTGCAGCCTCAGGCATTCCATGTTTTTCCCATATGCTTTTCTTAACTCCTTTGAAACGCAACAACAACTCGAGTTATATGATCGTAAAATTCAAAATATGCTGGTTAAAATAAGTCATTCAGCACAATGTCGGATCCCATCTATCTTATGCATTTGCACCACGTGTTGCCACGGCCTATTCTTTTTCGAAAAAGACTGTTCATTCATTAGAAGAACCTTTGGTTGAGTGGATAAATTCCGGTTTAGTCTGCTGGAGGGAACTTTTATAGTTGAGTCACGGAACAGATCGTTTTAGAACCCGAGATACCTTTAACGGATATCGCTCAGGGATGCTTGCTTCACACTAGTCGGAAGTCTGACATGTGTCTTGCAACAAGAGGCTTGTTACAACAGAAGGGCTTTTGTGGTGGAGTATGCACAACGGCCTACTTCAGTGTGCAGAGGAATGCAACAATACTACAGCATCAGTATCAACACACATGTTTAAGGACCACACCACACTACGCGGTCACTCCAAAAGCGTGTATTAATTACACTCTTCCGTTCCATCGTACCACTTATGTCCCAAACAGACTCCTTCCATCATAATCTCAACTCGAACAATTGCAAACTTACGGTCAGAGCTTTACAATATTCAGATTACCGTTTCCAATGGACAGTATAATTGTCGTTTTTAAAACTCCGTGATCTGATTACGAAGTCCTTGTTTGAGACACGGGCTCAAAAGAGTTGTCCAGACGATCAGGGTGGTATGCTTCGGTGCGAGAACGCTTTATTCGTTACATCTGGTGTTCCAGTGGGTGCAGAGTGCGGTAGCACACACTGGGGCACCTGCAGACTGCGAAGAATGAGACATCTTCTGCACCGTACCGATGATTCATCCCACTACCTTTCGTAACATCATTGTGTCATCAGGAGCTCGCAGCGCACAGAAGTGAACTAACCAAGTTGTCCTGTGTTTCTAAGCCGAGTCAGCTTTAGAAGTTTTCTCTCAGACGGTCGTGTAAATCGGTGGCATTTACGGTCATTGTCACTGATCGTAATGTTTGTAGCGAATAGAGATGTTTGCTGCTTTTGACTCGGACATAAACGACCAATGTGCATACTGTGTAAGCGGCTACTGAAACCAGACGCAAATGATAGAACTGTTTGTTTGTGAGCAAACGAAATGAAGCTCAAAAACCAACGACATTCAAAGCCAAAGCCACATTAAACTACCGAGTACCACCGCGTTTACTACATCACTGTGGCCACTGAATGACAGGCATGGTTATGGCAACTTCACCAGATGACCGGGGCCGACAAGAAGTATAGCTCATACCTTCGAACCCAGCTAGTCAGATCTTAATGAGTGTGAGCTTGTCCTTCTTGACTTGACCAACTCTGTATGGTTTTCCGTATCATGCCGTTCATATAATCAACACCCATGCCCGGCTTTTTTATGCTGCACTGAAACTACCAAAGATAAATGCCTCTGCCCTGGATATTGACTGCTATTTTCATATGAACTTCAATTTGACTTGAGCAACTCTATATGCTTTTCCGTATCATGCCGTTCATATAATCGACATCCATGCCCGGCTTTTTTATGCTGCGCTGAAACCACCAAATGTAAATGCCTCTGCCCTGGGTATTGACTGCTATTTTCATATGAACTTCAAGAAAACAGGCACTTTCAAATTTCTCCTCTGAAGGCACCTCTCGTCAAGTGAAGCAGAGAAGCTGATCCTACCATGGATGGCTTATCTTCTAAGCATTCCGATAAAAAAGAGACCTGGCTTCAGAAGGCTTTTTTTGGCAAAAAGCTAGTAGTTGTACTCTCCCCATACAGTAACAAACATACAAACCTCAAACTTTATTGCAGAAAAACGAAAACAAATCAATGGCCTGTCTTTTAACCGGCTCTATGAAAAAGACTGAGAATATACATCAGATTCCAGCAGAACTCTGAACTACTCCTTCATCTAGAGGCACACTGGTAAAACCTGTGAGAAAGGCACAGGATGAAATCTCATTGCTACCGCTGGAGGAGTCGACTCTATCAGATAATTCTGATTTACTGCTAACAAATATTTATTGGTTTGTGGGTGATTCGGATCAGTTATTCAGGAACTAGTCCTAAATATCAAAGAAGAATCATGAGGCCGTTTTTTTGAGAAGAGGCAAGTTTAGTCGGAGAACGTGGCCATCTGCGTAACAGAGACCGTCGGTAAAGTGGATTCAACTTCTGCTCAAGGGGGTAGAGTCGGGAATTTTCGACGATCCATTATGAATTACAGGCTCGCTTTATCAACCACCCAAAACTCCA